AGCCCTTAAAACCCCCCTCAAAACCCTTAAAACTCCCCTCAAAACCCCTAAAAATACATTAAACCCCCCTCAAAACCCTTAAAAACCCCCTCGAAACCCCTAAAAATGCATTGAAAACCCCTCTAAACCCTTAAAAAACCCTAAAATCCCTTAAAAGCACCATAAAAACTCATTAAAAACCCCTTAAAACCCTTTAAGACACCCTAAAAACCCATTAAAAACCCTTTAAACCCTTAAAACACCCTTAAAACTCATTAATAACCCCTTAAAACCCTTAAAAACACCCTAAAACCCCCTATAATCCCCCTAAACCCCCTAAATATGCCCTAAAACCTCATTAAAACCCCTAAACTCCTTAAAAACACCCTAAAAACTCATTAATAACCCCTTAAATCCCTAACAACACCCTAAAATCCCTGAAATCCCCCTAAACCCTTAAAACCACCATAAAAACTCATTAAAGACCCCATTAAACCCCTCAAAACTCATTAAAAACCCCTTGACACCCTTAAAAAACCCTAAAACCTCTTTTAAAACCCTTTAAAACACCCTACAAACCCCTTAAAACTGTAAAAACACATTTAAAAAGCCCTTTAAACCCTTAAAAACCCCTTAAAACCCTAAAAAAACCCTTAAGAAAACCCTTAAAAAACCCAAAAACGCCTTAAAAAAGAAAACTTAAACCCCCTTTAAACTTAAAAACCCCTTAAACCCCAAAACACTTAGAATAATACCCTTTAAAACCCCTTAAAACCACTATAAACCCCTTAAAACCCTTAAAAACTCCCTTAAAACCACTAAAAACCCCTTAAAACCCTTAAAAACTCCCTTAAAGCCCTTAAAAACCCCTTAAAATCCTTCAGAGCACCCTAAAAAAACCCCAAACCCCTTTAAAAAAGTTAAAAACCTTAAAAAAATCCCTTTAAAACTCCTTTTAAACCCCCTTAAAAACCACTTTAACAATCAAAAGCCTTAAAATTCCCTTAAAACCATTAAAAACCCTTTTAAAAAACCCCACAACCCCTTAAAAAAAACAAAAAAAACCCTTAAAAAACCCCAAAATGCCCCCAAATGCCCCCAAAAACCCCTCGGGATTGGAAACTCGAGGTCCAAACTTCTCCCCTTTCCCCGCAGGTTCAGCTCCCACGGCTGCGCCTGGAGCCCAGGTAGGTCCGGACCCCCCCAAAATCCCCCCGGGGCCTCGATTTTTGGGTCCAAAAATGAGGATTTTGGTAAAATCGGAAATTTTGGGGTGAAAAGAGGAGATTTCTGGGTGTTTTCTCACATTTTTGGGGTTTATTTCCCCCAAATTTGGCCACATTTTTGGGTTATCCCCAAATTTGCCCACATTGGGGTCTTTCCCACCCATCGCTCTCATTTTGGGGTTGTTTTTCCCAAATTTGGCCACATTTTGGGTTGATTTCCCCAAATTTTGGGTCATTCCCACCCATTGCTCTCATTTTTGGGTTGATTTCCTCCAAATTTGGCCACATTTAGGGGTTGTTTTCCTCCAAATTTGGCCACATTGGGGTCGTTCCCACCCATCGCTCTCATTTTGGGGTTGATTTTCCCAAATTTGGCCACATTTTGGGTTGATTTCCCCAAATTTTGGGTCATTCCCACCCATTGCTCTCATTTTTGGGTTGATTCCCCCAAATTTGGCCACATTGGGGTCGTTCCCACCCATCGCTCTCATTTTGGGGTTGATTTCCCCAAATTTGGCCACATTTTTGGGTTGATTTCCCCAAATTTGGCCACATTGGGGTTGTTCCCACCCATCGCTCCCATTTTTGGGTTGATTTCGCTAAATTTGGCCACATTTTTGGGTCGATTTCCCCAAATTTTGGGTCATTCGCACCTATCACTCTCATTTTTGGGTTGATTCCCCCAAATTTGGCCACATTGGGGTCGTTCCCATCCATCGCTCTCATTTTTGGGTGGATTTCCCCCAAATTTGGCCACATTTTGGGTGGATTTCCCCAAAATTTGCCCACAATGGGGTCGTTCCCACCCATCGCTCTCATTTTTGGGGCATTTTCCCCCAAATTTGGTCACATTTTTGGGTTGATTTCCCCAAATTTGGCCACATTTTTGAGTTGTTTTCCTCTAAATTTGGCCACATTGGGGTTGTTCCCACCCATCGCTCCCATTTTTGGGTTGATTTCGCCAAATTTGGCCACATTTTTGGGTTGATTTCCCCAAATTTTGGGTCATTCCCACCCATTGCTCTCATTTTGGGGTTGATTTTCCCAAAATTTGGCCACATTTTGGGTTGATTTCCCCAAATTTTGGGTCATTCCCACCCATTGCTTTCATTTTTGGGTTGATTTCCCCAAATTTGCCCACATTTTTGGGTTGATTTCCCCAAATTTTGGGTCATTCCCACCCATTGCTCTCATTTTTGGGTTGATTTCCCCCAAATTTGGCCACATTTTGGGTGGATTTCCCCAAAATTTGCCCACAATGGGGTCGTTCCCACCCATCGCTCTCATTTTTGGGGCATTTTCCCCCAAATTTGGCCACATTTTTGGGTTGATTTCCCCAAATTTTGGGTCATTCCCACCCATTGCTCTCATTTTGGGGTTGATTTTCCCAAAATTTGGCCACATTTTTGGGTTGATTTCCCCAAATTTTGGGTCATTCCCACCCATTGCTCTCATTTTTGGGTTGATTCCCCCAAATTTGGCCACATTGGGGTCGTTCCCACCCATCGCTCTCATTTTGGGGTTGATTTCCCCAAATTTGGCCACATTTTTGGGTTGATTTCCCCAAATTTTGGGTCATTCCCACCCATTGCTCTCATTTTGGGGTTGATTTTCCCAAAATTTGGCCACATTTTTGGGTTGATTTCCCCAAATTTTGGGTCATTCCCACCCATTGCTTTCATTTTTGGGTTGATTTCCCCAAATTTGCCCACATTTTTGGGTTGATTTCCCCAAATTTGCCCACATTTTTGGGTTGATTTCCCCCAAATTTGGCCACATTTTGGGTTGATTTCACCCAAATTTTGTGTCATTCCCATCCATCGCTCTCATTTTTTAGTTGCTTCCCCCAAATTTGGCCCCATTTTTGGGTTGTTTTCCCCAAATTTTGGGTCATTCCGACCCATCGCTCTCATTTTTGGGTTGATTTCCCCAAATTTGGCCACATTTTGGGGTTGATTTCCCCAAATTTGGCCTCATTTTTGGGTTTCTTCCCCCCTTTTTTGGCCACATTGGAGTTGTCGCCCACACGTTGAGTTTTCACCCCAAATTTGCCATTTCCGAGCCCTTTTTTTCACCAATTTTGGGATTTTTTGGGGCTGTTTTCGCAGGGGAACCCCTCCACCCCGAGGCCCTGCAGCGCTTGGTGGTCCTGACCCACGGCCACGGCCAGGAGTGCGGCTTCGTCCCCGACGTGAAGACCCCGGTGCCCCACGGCTCCTCCCAATTGGTTTGGGAGTGCGTGGCCGGGCACAGCTTCTCCTGGGGGGTCCCTGGGACCCCCAAAATGGGTCCCCCCCAGCCCCCCCACCAGCATGAGGGGGATGATGTGGGGTGCGGGTCCCCCCCAGTCGCCAGGCGCCGGCGCTCGGCCACGAAGGGCGGAGGTGAAGCTCGGTCACCCGAGGGCGATGGAGACCAAGGGGGAGAAGAGGGAGGTGATGATGGAGGTGGTGGCACAGGTGAGCTCCTCTTCCTCCCGTCCTCTTCCTCTTCCTCCCGTCCTCTTCCTCTTCCTCCTGTCCTCGTCCTCCCATCCATCCTCTTCCTCCACCCTCTTCCTCCCACTTTCTTCCTTCTCCATCCTCTTCTTCTTCCTCCATCCTTGCTCTTCCTCCTGTCCATCTTCTTCCTCTTCCTCCTCCATCCTTCCTCCTCCTCTCGTCCTCTTCCTCCTCCATCCGTCCTTCTCCATCCGTCCTCTTCCTCCTCCTCTCGTCCTCTTCCTCCTCCTCTCGTCCTCTTCCTCCTCCTCTCGTCCTCTTCCTCCTCCTCTCGTCCTCTTCCTCCTCCTCTCGTCCTCTTCCTCCTCCTCTCGTCCTCTCTCCTCCCGTCGTCTTCCTCCATTATCTTCCTCCATCCTTCCTCTTTCTGTCATTCTCATCCTCTTTCTCCATCCTCTTCCTCGGGTCCGTCCTCGTCCTCTTCCTCCCGTCCTCGTCCTCTTCCTCCCG